CTGGTATCAGGCCCAGATGAGAATTGCTCCTGGAGATTGTCATCAACCTGTCACACAAGGCTGGATGAGAACCAAAAAAGTGGAGGGGGGCCCTGGGCCTGAGCCATGTTCTTGCGAGGAGCCGCAGCTTTTTGAAGGGGAAGCCCTGTTTTGGGAAGAAATGCATGTCATATACTGTCATGACAATTAAGATATGTCCATGCTTGCCTTGATAAAGCTCAGCCCCAGTCCGGTTGTGGAAAAACTAAGCCAAACAGCTGTGGCAAAAAAATGCTAGGCCAACAGCAAGGTGCACCAACCTGACATAAGTTCAGACCCCCAAAACATGCCTGAACATTGTTTTCGCACCCTAGGCTCTCAAGCGAGCAATGAACTTCATTCCCGGCCAAAGCCGCCCAATGGCGGGAGGCAGACCCACAACCACATCATCAGCATGGACCTCTTCTTGGATCCAGGGCAATCGAGGCACTGGTTGAGGGGTCATATCGTTGATCAAGCCAACGAGAAACCGGACTGACCTTGCAGTGGATTCTGTTGGCACCTTTTGCAAAATGAGACCGGCTAAAGTCAAGTAAGCCTTCCGCTTTGCGGGCTTTACAGGTCTCAAAGCTCGGGGGGTTTGCGGGATCTCGTCCAACAAAGCCAGGTATCGGTGCGGAAAACATAGAAGTGGTTCCTCCAAAGGATGGGACTGAGAAAAGGGTGGTATTGTGGGTTGTTGCACGATTGATACAGTTGGTTCTTTTCAAAACAGTGAGTGTCCTGTCCAAGATACTGGTCTGATGCATTCTTCTTGATCATCAGAATAACATCTTCAGGGTGGTCCGGATGTCTTGCACCGCGTCCAGTGCTTGTCACTTCCAAGTTCCGGGGCAAGTCTTCAGGGTACAACAGGCCAGCTGAAGAAATACACAATTTGATATTCAAATGAACCAATGAGTTGGTGCGTTCAAACAGAAACATTCCAAAACATAGCCTTGTCGACGGGCCATGATGAAAGCATGCCACCCACTATCGTCATCTCGCAGCCCTCCGCTATAGGTCACTGGAGCCTTCTCAAGCCTGACCCATGAGTGACGGTGGATATGGCCTATGGCAGGATGGGTCACTGTGGATTGGAGCTTCATGGAGTTGGAAATTGGAACAATGCAATGAAAAGCTGCCAAACCAAATCGTTCCAATGTTGATTCATCATACAGTCAAGGAACCAATGCTTCCAGTTTCTTGTGCCAGATATATACTCCACTTTGATTTCAGCATGTTCCCCAATCCACTGGCGAATCCCGATCCTGCTCAATAAGTAGTGGATTTTCCTCAGCGAGCTTGGTGGCGTGTGTGCAGTAGTCTAGATTGCACGCATGAAGATCATACAACCATTTGACATTGGGACAACTTGGGTTAGGAGAGACACTCGGCCATATCTTGCCCGTCACTCAATATGTCGCAATATCGCATTGCCGTTGCCAGCAAGCCGAATACTTGATCTTGGTACTGTTGAGATGCGAAGGGGCATGAAACAAATCCGTTTTCTTGATTGAACAGTAATTCCTCCAAAGCACCAAGCGGGCCATGAGTGTGCCCCACGGCACTGAACAACAATGCCCCGAGGGCAAATCGACGCTTGGCCAGAAGAACTGCTATGAACTTCAGGATCGTGTTGTTCTTGTTTTCTCTGACGCAGTTATCGGCCTGAATTACAAGACAGGGACATGAGGGCATGTTGGGAGTTAACAGAAGCACATGCAAGTGTTTGTTACAAACAAATACCAAGGTTTGGGAACAGTGCTAAAGTGCTGCTGTAGAGTGTCCCAAATGATGAGTTCCGTCGGGATCCGCTGGCCATGTTTCCGGCATGCTTCTACTGCATATTCTATAGACCTTGCTCCAGCTTCCATCACCATTGATGCATCAGATGGCACGCGAGGGTCTACGACCCAAATATATAGTGCAACTCCATGTAGCCAGGTGGCATGTACTTTACACTTTGGACGCTGGATCATTTGGGTGGATTTTGTAGCCCGGACATGCTTGTATCTTGGCAACGCCCATTTGGCCTGATCCATACCATCCTGGACCATTGAAGGACTTGTGGTGACTAGCTAGTAGTTATTTACATCGCAAAGTTCTGCCACCAAGCACTGCTGTTTCGGCACCTGCGTTTTTCACTGATGCACTACTGCAGCAGAGGCTCCCAAAAAATTCCGAGCACGTTTCCGGGCGATGTGAGTGGGGACTGGGCCTGAAACCATATGCAATGGAAAGGAGGGAGGGGTTGGGCAAACAAACGGAAACATGACTGACAAACAGACCACAAGCCTGAATAAACTCTTCTAGGGACCTGTCCCGTCCCACTTGATCGATGTGCAGTTTGTACTCCTTTGATATCTCAAAGAGTTGCTGTGCATCCTGGGCCAGTAGGACAACATATCATGGACCATTTACTCCTTAAAGTTTGTCCTATGATCCCCACAAATACTAATTGTTGCTGAAGGTCATTTGTGGCTTTGAACTGCTCTTTGAAGTCGCAGCACAGGTCGCATGACCCATGCGTCGAAGGTGGTAAAAACTTCAATATGCCTTTCCATTTATCTTGGTAGGCCCTCCAGAATGTTTGGTACCTTGAAAAGGGCTTCGCTGGGAAAGTTTAGTTTCTGGAAACAAAGAAAACAAGTCAGCTTGACTCAGTCCCAACTGAATGCAATCATCCAAAGCACGACACTGTGTCTGATTGACACATTTGGTGCCATAACATTTTCAAGTTTCCTGGTGGTAGGAATCTTGTTGGAAGCTCACTGAAGGAGCTCCAAAAATTGCACTCCACGATCCTAAAATAAGAACAATCGTGACTGAGAGAGGCAAGTGTAACCACTGGACAAAGTTAACAAAAGCCGCTCAGGCCCCAACTGGCCAAATGCCGAATGCAATCCCAATATGTGCATTTTGAGCTCATCATCAGTGTCAAGGCTTTCTTCAGGTTCGGCAAGTACATCATTCACTGAAGCATCTGAACTGGCGCTACCCTCACCTGAGCCCGAATTCGAACTCGAAGTTGCTACAGGTTTCAAAAGAGTTCACCCTCAAAACGATGACAGCCAAACAGGTGGAGTATGGGTGAAAGCACTTCCTTCTTCATGTCAAGCAGCTGTCACTTTCTGCATGCTTTTCACCCAAAATCACGGTCAGTCTCTTGCCATGCTTCACCCGAGGGCGAGCTGCCCGTTGAAACCTCCGGGGCTTTGATTGAGGGTGGAAGGCTTTGCAAAATGTCACATCATTGACAGGCATTCAGTGCTATTGATCTGAGAAGCTTTGCAGGCAACATCCCAGCCGACTTCATATACTGGCTGAGAAGGAACTGGTGCACCTTCCTGGTCTTGATAGGGGATCTCCTTGCTGCCTTGGCCCAGTGAGGCTGGCCATGGAGGTTTATTGCATTCATGGTAATGGTCGCAACTCAAAGACAAGTGGCTGCCCCCCAAATCTTGAAACGGCGGTCACCTTTCTGTTGTTCTACTCTGGACATTCTGCAGTTCCCCATGCCCAACATAGCTGTGCAGCACTTTGGCGACACTACCTGCTCCAGCAGGACCCATTGTCGCCGCTTGCCTTTGGCTTTGCCCAAAACATGTTGGACCTGGCTCCAAGGACCATGCACCAGAATGTAAAATTGGTATACTTGAATGCAGTCAGTGTTGAACATCTGTTTTGAAAATAAGGTTTGGACAAATGCATCCTGGATCGACTTTGCAAATTCCCAAAAGATCGCCAAGAATTCTAGCAACCTTTGCCGCACAGACCGCATCTGCTGGAAGCAAGTCCGTCTATGACACCTGCAAGGACGAGAGAATAGATCATCGATCCTGGATTTGCTTGGGCCGGTCGACCCATGCCTTGGCTAGGGAACAATCAGATGATGAACCTTCACAGACTTCCGAAACAGTCCCCTAACAGGAAATTGAAGCAGTGAAAAAAACACACAGGATGGTCTTAAGGCTAGGAACTTCACACGGACCAATTGGTTTACCAGCAATCGTCGCCTATGCCCATTGTAGTTCGGCCTTTTCCTTGGAACCTCTGGCTTCGTATGCGCCAGCTCCAACAGCGTGTTTGTCCGTCTGAATTCTAAAAGGCCCTCAAGACTGAAGATCACACCGCCAGTGTCTTCTCTTTCTATTTCTTTTGCCACATGTTCTTCTTTCGCCAAGATTCCCAAAGCATGTTTGCGGTCAGCAGATCGAGGAGCATCCTCTCTTGGAGAGTCTCTCCCAGACAATGATTGCAGAAACCTCAATCATACATTTTCGTTGGTCCATGTGGTGGTGATGCTGGAATCTCATAAAAAAAATAGTCCCTTGGACAAATTGAAAAAATGCAAATAGGTAGCCTTCTGCGCTTCTCTGACATGTTCAATCCATGGCATCCACAGAGTCATCCATGCTTCAATTTTGAAGCTCGTGGCTGCTGTGCCACAAACATGTATCACCCAAATATAATGGTATAGCACCTAGATACAACGAAATTGACTTATATATATAAATGAAATGCCAGTCCCATCGGTAGGTGTCTGGGTGTCAGTCCCATCCCAGAGAGGTAGCGAATTAGTGACCCGGACCTGGAACACCTGGGGTGCCCTGGCCTGAGATAGTCGAACGAACTCGGGTCTCGAAAAACCTCTGTTGGATGGCAGGGGACCAAAACCTTACAGCGAACGCTGTAAAGACCGAAGCACTATAGGGACATTGCTGGTCTAAGATCCTGAACATGTGCAGAATACATCCCCTGGCGAAAAAGCATTTAAAGTCAATTGGACATAGGGCGGGTCTTCAGGATGAACATTGCTGCGGCCTTGCGTTTCTAGGGAAAACAGGGTTCTTTTCACCGTGCACCAAGAAGAAAAGGTTCCTCTTCCTCCTTGGCATCTTCTTCTTTCATGACCTTCGCACCGCGCGTGCCGCCCCCATCCACCCACGAGAAGACACTCAATTCGAAGTTCGGAGAGCCCGATCGAAGCGGAAGTTGATGTTCTTCTCATCCCCATAGGGTCCAGGTACCTCCTGAGGATGGTCTTGGAGGTGAAAGTACTTCCAGAGAATGGTCTTGGGGGGTCAAAGGACATCCTCAGGATGGCCCTGGACCCTTAGGGAATATGCAATCAACTCATCAAACGTAACAGTACATGATGATCCTGGTGTCCACTCGGGGTGTCAACTCAACGTGCTTTCAGAAGGCCATTTAGTATGTTTGTTCCAGAATGGGGTGCCAGGACCTTCCCATGCAGTGAGCCTCTTCAGGATTGGTAGAAGTGACCTTTTCAAGGCCTAAGTGACCTCAGCCACTGGGATCTCAAGTTAGGTCACTGGGAAGGCCCTGGTGGTTTCTTATTCCTTCCAACCAGTTGAATACGTTGGCCCACTGGGCGCGGAGAAATCTCCGCGCGGCCGTAGCCGTTTCCCCCAGCTGCACAATATGGAACGTCAACCGACTGCACGCAGTAAAAACAACTGGAAGTTGACTATGAGGGGTGAGGTAAATGAAACAAACATGGCATTGTTTGTTGTTCTGTTGTTGTGGTTGTGGTCATTCTCGTTGTTGTTGTTGTTGTTGTTGTTGTTGTTGTTGTTGTTGTTTCATGATTTTCTCCAATGCACACACCGGTGGTCGTTGTCTCCAGCGCCCCGCCCCCGACAACGCCCTCTTCCCACCTGGGCGAGAAGGATCGTCCACCTGACGCTTCTGCGGGGTCTGAATGGGCGAGGCTGAGCCAGAAGTACATGAGTGAGTCTGATATTTACCGATCAGTTGGGGTGGTTTAGGGTGGTTTGGGGCAAGTTTGGGGTTTTTGGCTCCTTCTCGAGTCCTCCATGGGTTCATGTCTCCTTCGGCTGGTTCCCATCAGGGTTCCCATGTTTCTGAAAGGATTCTGCCATAGATGATCTGTGACCCTTGATGAATGAACCTCTTCATCTAGGGGGTTGCTGAACTCTACATTTAGCAGGAACCCGGAAACCATACATTCCGGCTGGCAGCTAGCACAGAACTGGGCCCAGGCCTCCTGTGTTCGTCGGAGTGTACTCCAACATGTTGCTATCTTCCACGAAATGTGGCCAACACCCCTTGGTTAGGCCCTAGGGATCCAGTGGCACCCCTCCTTTGGTCCGGTGATGTATTGAACTGTCTGTTTACCCATCTGTGGCTCCTATAGGTGCCAGCTGGGCCCGGGTCCAGTCGTACCGAACCTGATGTGGGGTACGACTGGATTTGTAGGTCTTAGAACTCACTTCAGTGATTTGGCATGCATTCCAGCTGCAGAAATTGTCGAGCAAAAAATCGTGACGTGCAATCAGCGTGACGTGCGTCATCCAAAGGAGGCGGGAAAAAAACCATAGCCTAGCATTAGATCTCGAATTGGAACAAACATGCCTTGACACCATCCAAAGGATAATTCTTGCAAGAGTAGATGGTTTAACACATGTTTTCAGGGAACCGACAAGATCTGACTTTGCCAACCAAACTGGGTGATGTTTGAGTTCACCATGAGTCGGATAGTGCATCCACACCTCTGAACCCGAACATGTGACCTGGCAATCTACCATCTGCACTATCATCTATAGTCTCCTATATGTATTATGGTGAGGAAAAGGAACCATTCTGAGATGTTCAGGCAAACTTCGTATATGTTCCCTGAAATCGGATCTGAAATTGGAGATCCCTATAGGGTTTCTGGTTTGTGGCAACATGGTCCTGAATGGGCAGAAACCGATCTTTCACACTCTACCGGCTTCACCGCGCCTGGCGTGCCACGCCCAGGTGTCTGGCCGTGGGGGCGAGGAAACAATGCAAGGAGGCAACACACCAGCAACGTTCACTAGCTTGACGCGAACACGAAAACATGTGTTTCATGAAACATTCTGGAGTTCGACCCGCATATGTACTGGCACATCTCTCTGGGCTCACTGCTGTTGACAACAGCACTGCCACTAAAAACCGTTGACAACGTGGCCCTGTTGGTTTCCCAAAAACCTGGGCATGTGAAGAATGGTGTCACCTGCGAAGGAGAAACAAACCAGCACACGCCAGCATGCAGGTCTTATCGAGCAAGGCTTTGAACAAAGGTGTCCGAAAAAGGCAGTTGATGGACGAATAAGCTTTCCGGACACTCTTAAGCATCTTCCTTGCACTTTACCTTAAAATGTAATGCAGAGTTCTTCTCGCATGTTTTCCATCGAAATCATTGTAGCTACACGCCTTCACACCCTTTGCACGATTTTTCGTCAATCCCAGTGAACTACGCAGCCGGGAACCTGTAGGGGGAAGGCCCAAAAAACATCTTCGTTCAAGCAATCCCGCTCCAATCTCCGTGTCAGAATCTAGTCACATTATAGCGCCTGACAGCAAGCAAAATGACCCGGTGACTTCCTTTTCGTTAGGACCGACATGTCTTGAATCTGCAAGTTAAAAGGGAATTTTGCTTTCAAGGGATTCACATAGAACGCAAAGCATTCTCTACCTATAGTAGCATGTCCGCACCTGCTTTCTCCAACGTACAGTGCCCTTGATCAACGACCCCCCTACCTTTTGTGAGAACTAGACAGTCTTGTTTTACACGAGGTACATCGATAAAGCAAAAGTGATCGCATGTGTCCTGGACGGCCTCAACTTCGACTGGAAATGCAACTTCCACTCACACGGACTCCGTTCCTCGAACTGGATGAGGATCAGCTTTTTCATGCTCCTTTCCCCTTTGTTCCCTCTGTCCAAAAAGGACACCAACTCCTCAGAAAAGCTGTTGCAGGTGAACCCCCGGAATCCTGGCTAGCTACATCACCAGCAACACTCCTAGGCCCACGAACTGGGAATCACAACCACCAAAACATTGAACACCAAGAGAGGTAGCCAGTGACCGGGACTGGACCCGGAAAACCTGGGGTACCTATGCAGATAGCCGAACGAACTCGGGTCATGAAAAACCTCTATTGGCATCCATGCAACCATTCAGACATTGGATTCTTGGATGGCTTAAACAATGCTGAAAACAGGTCAAGGTGATTCTCTGTCATAATGTAGACTCTTGATTAGTTAATAAACCCCCTGTAAGAAGATGTTTTTTTTGGGGGGGAGACATTCAAAACCCCCACCCAGGGATGGCGTGGACGTGCAACTTGACTCGCCAGTTCGTGCATCCAAATGGGGAAGGGTTACTCAAGAGTCCACTACGTAGGTGTGTACCTCAACCGACTCCGATCTAGGTCCACACACACCGGGCCTGCCTGGGCTGTGCCGGTTCCACCCGGACTGAACCGACTTCGATTGACCAAATAGATCCAATATAGACTACTCTGGCGGATTCCCGTTTATTGCAAATAGTATAAGGTCCACACCTGGCGTACTGGTGTACCCCACTGGAATCGTCCAACGTATAGAGTTCGGAACCACCCATCCTCTTGGGAGCTTGTGACGGAGCCGACGGCGTCGACGGCGGTGTCGAACACATCACCGTAGCTGAGGTTCGGTACGACTGGATTTGAAGGGGACCAGGGATCTCCACTCGATTCATCAACCAATTTAATGCAACACGGCCCGAAAATCATCGTTACGGCCCAGGGCCCATGTTCCACCCATGAAAACGGTGGTTCTCACAAAACATCCATGATCCTTTTAGGGAGTCTTAAGCATTCCAAGTCCCATGACCGCTGAGCACACGTCCGAACAAGCAGGGCCGTAGAGACAGCAGTCCTGCAAGACCTGCAGCACAGACCTGCTGTTTCTCACCCGCCGAAGTGTGAAACTCCCCCATTAGCACCGAAAGGCAGCAAGAAAAGAAGTCCCACGCAAACTGCTGTCTGTGGCACGCAAACTAACGTTACCAAATCCTACTAAAATGAGGGTTTTCTCACCAACCAAAGGCTGAGACGGACGTATACCATCCTCCCATGACCTCAGGACCTCTGCACGCGTCTCGCGGCATGACCGACCGGTTTCACCAACTGCTGAGGCCCCTCTACCCCGGTGCCTCTGCTTCAGGCGAGAAGTCGGACAGGGCACGAAAGTTGCTGAAGTTGCTCCTGAAGTTGCTCGGACGGGGCGCAGACGACCGGACGTCCAGGAACGATCTCCAATGGGAGCCGGTCCCTAGAATGAAGGTTATAGAAGAGCTAATAAATAAGCCGATCTGGACCCATGTGATTGATCGGCCTAGGCCCATATCGAAACGATGGATGAAAACAAATGTGGCAAGTACGCCACAGCCTTGCAAGGAAAGGGCTGTTCAAAAAAACCGTCTGAAACAGTGAGAAAATACCAACCAATTAACGTTTCCTGCAGTTGGCCGAACGTTCCAGCACCACGGAAGGGGTTGTTTATGGACACCCCTGAAAATGTATGTTCTTTCCTCTTGCGCACATCGAGGGCTACCTTACGCCTATATGTATGTTCCATCAAATAACCCTTTCCGCGGTGCTGGTTTACATTGATATGCGTGGTTCACCGAACCAGGCATCACGTATCCCAAACGCACCTCCCGATCCCAAGGGGTTTCAGGTCCCTGTGCTTGCGCGAGGAGACTCCTTTCCACCAAGGATATTTAAACGATGGATTGGGCAATGCTGAAGTCTACGTCTACTTCCATGAAGATAGTCGACTTGGCGTTACAAACATCTTGGAAGGACATTCCAAAAACCAGCAAATGGATCTCCCCCTCCCTTTTCAGCCACCCCTGGCAAGCGAAAGGCAAAGCCAGGGCCCCAAACGTTTTCACACTTCTCCCATCCGAACTGCTGGATGGGCGGTGTCGTGGGCTGCTCGACCGCCTGGCAGGCCGGGTCCAGCTTTCCCATCAACACCAGGGGTCTGCGGAACAACTCGGGTGACTGGAGATATGTAGAGCTCATCGCCTGGGGTCGAGTGGTGAGTTAGTTGTGGGTTAACGGAAAGTTCCGGGGCGCCTGGGGTGAGTTAAAGGTTATGCAGTTATGAGCTGACGGGGTAGGGTAGGCATCGACCAGGTCGCATGGTCGGGTGAAGGACCCAAAAAGATTGACAGAGTGGGGCCCATCCTTCCTTGGATCACGCACTGTGGCTGGCCGGGCGCCTGCGGAGCGCGGGGTGCAAAGGCCGCTCCCTCATGCAGTCCGCGCGAGAGCTTCAAGTGAACAACACGTCCTGCGCATGCCTGACATGGCGATGTTGCGCCTCACAAGTAACATCAAGTAACAAATTGGGTATCAATATTCATCCCATTTCATCCCAGATCTGCAGCACCTTCGGTGACTTGTTGTTCAGTCTGGGGCAGGCTGAAAACGACAATCAACGTCGTTGACGTATCTAGAGTAGGCTTGATGGCGCTTGATGGCGTGTACTGCAACAGGTATTTAATGCAACGGCCGGTACACTCTGATTCACCAAGACTAGGCAACAAAATCACCTCAGAACTTGAACTCAAGGCGCATGTGATGATCTGTGATGTGCAACCGGTCATCCTTCTAGATCCTCGATGGTGTATGATCGATGGTCCTTTCTTCGTATCCAAAGGTGCCCCACTGAAGGAGGTAGGATATGCCCTATGGATCCACATTCCTTCTGAGAAGGTGATGTGTTCGACTGATGTAATTAGGCTTGGAGGGCGTCGTTTCTGCAGGTGGATCCCGGCCGTACGACAAGTAGTACGGTAAGATGATGTATACGATGGAACCAACTAAAGGCCGAAAGGCCCGAACGTTCGACTATCCCATACCCAAACACTCCATGTAAGCCATATATGCCTACATTGGGGTGGTTTGGGGGGTCAATGTAGGCATATATGGCACTCCCATGGAGTGTCTGGGATAGGTAGCACATATGGGGTCCTGTTTTACGGTCACACAAATCCTCTCTTGGACTCTACCTCCATGTGGCTCCTTTCAACACAGCTCCGCACGACGTACTGTCGGGACAACCCGGGTCCCGTAGAAACTGCAGCAGGATCTGCCAGTGACCTGAAATAGGACCCCCACAGGGGTAGCCAGTGACCGGGACCATAGGACCCGGAACACCAGCATTACCTATGCATGGGATAGTCGAGCCGTTTGGGTTCTGAAAAACCCCTGCTGGTGACCTTAAATAGGACCTGTCACCTGGGCCTGTGGGTGGGCCAGGGTGTCAAATTAGAGCTCCGACCAGAGGTGCTTCGGGGGATCCATGAACCACCCCAAATGGCCCTGTTCCATGGGGTACCTATGGGCGCGAACGCGAACGCCCACGTCTCAAATGGATGGAGCTCTTGGGACCAGTTTTCGATGGAGCCCTTCAGGTCTGCTGTTTGGCGACCCAACTCGCACGTTTCTTTTTCAAGAGCCGAGTATAGTGGATTGAGAGTAGATGGCACAGACCCCAAGAGGTGGTTACATGGATCCCCATCTAAAAGACATCATGGGATCTGTGCCATCTAGTCTGATGGCCCACTGTACATGGGCTTTCGAAACAGGTCTACTGGGCGGTATTTCAACTATGTCTGGCGATGCTCCAAAAGCATCCCAGTCATTCGGAATGCGACCCTTCTCCCGGACGTGTCACCGTTTCGGACGTGTCATCCTCCCTCACCGCTTCACCGGACGGGCGGCTTGACCGCGTGTGGCCTCCTTTTCGGGCGGAAGAACGGTCATTCCCGTGGGACGTTGGTGACGTTGTCCTCCGCACACAGTTCTTGACGTGTTCTTTTTCTGGACCGCTGTTCTGAACACTATCTTCTGGTTGGTGATTTCAACCCACTTCAAAACATAGGAGTCAGTGGAATCATGTGGAATCCATCATCCCAAGTAAAGGTTGAGCATACAATTGTTATAGACATTTTCTCACACCAACACCCAGAAATCAGAAAACACACTATACAAGCATAGACCCCAAACAGCTTCAAAACGATTCGTTTAGACCAATATTAGTAATTATATAGTCAAACATCGATTTCTTGGTACGCCCTAAGCCCACGTTCACCCCAAGAGCAAACTGCTTCATGAACATTCTTGTCGGCATCGCCATTTATTTATGCATGTATTTTATCTATTTAATTTCAGTAAACCGGGCCACAGAGACCGCCGAGACAAGGACAAGAGGGGGACAAGACCCGGACACAGAGCCGGGCCACAGAACCCAGCCACAGAGTTCAGGGGCGCGGCCAGTGAGTGTGGCCAGCTCTTTTTTTCTAAGATAGAACCCTACAGTAAACTGTTTGGGGAAAAACATGTTTTTTGATTTTAAGAGGTTTAACACCACACAGAAATACATTTCGGGACGGGCACAGAATTAACATACCCTTTGTATCCCTTTGTGAGGTCTCAAAAACCAAGCCCAAACCCATGTAATGTACCAAAAAGTTACCTACATATACCTACATTGACCCCCTTCAACCATCTTTAAGTCACCCATACCATGGGGCGGTAAATATGCCAGTCCCATGGATGGTCTGGGTATTGAGTCCAAATCCTCACGACCGACCACGCTGGGGCTGGTGAAACAGACCCACCCAGCTCGCGCTGGCGCCAGACTTCGAGCTGAAGAGGCGACACCACGCGAAGACCACGCGAAGACGCGGCATGCGGTATGCCTGGCTGGCATGCTGCCTGGAGGTGCCTGTGGCCGGAGGCAAGGGGGACGGGTGTGAGGCTTGGGAGTCCCCCAGGTGGGGCTGGGATGACGTGGCTAGTTGGTTGATGTTGGTTGTTGGACCCTAACAGGTCTCTTCCTTGGTGACCTGTCGGAGGGTGCTGGTAGGGATAGTCTCATTCATTTTCGCGCCCAACTGGTCGGTCTCTTGGTTTTTTACCTGGGACCTGACCGAGTCGTCGCCTCGTGATGCTCTGTTCGACTCACCGGGCGAAGCTTCGGTCGGAATCCAAACAGAACGAACCTGAAAGCCATCGCGGGCCATCTGTTGGCCATCGGTTGGGCCATAACTCAAGTCAGAGAACGATAGGAGAACGTGGCCATGGCGCCACAAACAGAGAACGTCCGTTGGACCCATCACCCGATCCGCAAGGACGATGTATGGGCAGGGAGTTGTTGCTAGCCCTTCAAACATCCTGGTTCTTCCTTTTGTGACCGAACTGGACATCACCTGGGTGACTTCGGTCACGGTCGAACAAGCCGAACCTGGACGAACTGGGTCACGAAAATATCGGAACCTTCAAGTTCGGTCACGAACTGAAGAAGCTGGATCATAGAATCAGAATTCACTAGACTAGGCTTAGCCCAAATATGCCAAAATAGAGGCTCCCTTCTGCCCCGAGATGTTTGTCGGGTTGGACCCGTCCACCGAGATAGGAGCGGTCCATGTCGTGGAAGGGTCGAGCTCTCCATCCAAATCCGGTCGAGCATGGTGCAGGTCTATCTTCCCTATGGATCTGCCACCGAACCAGTACGGTGAGGAAGGACACTGATGTATAGGCCAGGGTCTGGCCGTCGTACCGAACCTGAGGCACAATCCGTGGAAGTCGTGGATCCGGAGAGTTTAACTTTGATGTGTTACCCTAGGGCTCCAGTCGTACCTCCTCAGAAGGTGTTTGGACCCGAACATGGCACCCACCCCAGTCCCACCTTCGAAACGAAGGTACTTGAAGCCCTAGGGTTAACTATGATGTTCCAGCTCAAAGATTCGTGCTCTCTTTGTCCAGTGCAAAATTGGGTGCCAAGTTCCGCAACAACAACGCAGTTCTCGTCGTGTCCAACGCAACGTGCCCGTGCAAGCCCTCGGTCTTCACCGTCCAAACCAAACCGTTGAAAGCATTCGGGGCACCCCGGTCCGCCAAGCACGTTCGGAGAACATGGAGAGTGCCGCCACCTGAAACACATATGGAAGGACCAGATTCTCCCAACACACGACCTGTTTTGGGACCTACCAGTTGATTACTTGGGGTGGTTAGAACTCCGAGGTTTCTTGGTGGGTTTCTTCTCAAAACCAGGTCCCCGACAACCAGGTCCTGTCACCTAGGCCCTGAAAACCTCTGCAAAAGTCATAGTACTGCCAGTCACACGAACGTTCGGTCAGTTCCTGTAATTTCAGTCGACTTTGTGATGCTAAGCCCCTGACCTCTAAGCCAGGAGTCACAAGACGGGGTGCCGAACTTGGAGGAAGTCGGGGTGCCGGGGACGTTTCACACCACCCCGTCGACTGTGACCTCGACAAGAAGGCGTTTCTTTCCCCGGACCTCTCAGGGTCCGGAGCCGCAGCCTTTCATCGACCCGGTCGAAGGACGTCTACGCCGGCGCGACAAGCCGGACACGACATGCGCACGAGCCCACCTCGCAGGTGGCATCCAGCCCGCTCAAGGCCTGGATCTTCGGAAGGAAGGTCTGGGGTGGCTGAGGCTTTGAGTACTGCCCAAGCTTGTAGGTTGTTCCGCCATCACTACGAACGTAACAATAAGGGCATCGCAATCTACTAGCAGCAAGGACGCTACGAACGTAGTTCCTGGCCTTACTTATTGCTAGTATTAAGGGCATTACTACTAATAGCAAGAAGCTGCTAGGTTGGAGGCCATCGCTATTAGTTTGGACTCTTAGATGCAAGTATGTCTTCCCTGTCGCCTCAGATGTTCTCTGATCTGTCTGACTCATCCCACAAGTCATTCATCGAGGATTCATGGTGTTCCACACCATTCGTCGGGAAGGAAACGATAGGTTTGCTTTGGAGATCAGGGACTGACCGGTAGAATTTAATGGATTTACAGTAACCTGTCTGTATTCGGAATACGTCTTTACAACAGGTGCAAGTATCTTGCTACTTTCCAGTGGATGGGAGGCACGCTCAATCGAAATGGGGGGACCAAAACACCAAACATCACCGGATGGTGTCATCCCAGGCCCAGGAGTCATCCAACGTCTCTCCAACCAATCCCAGCCACAAACAGACCCAACACTGGGCCTCACACTCCATGGGACTGCCGCCCCAGAGGTCGACCCCCCATTCGCTGGCACCCCTACCCTTCGCTCGATCGGCCCGTTCCTGTCCCAGAGGTGTCGCGTCAGTCCCGCTTCAAAGCCATCGTCGTCCCAACGATCGTCTTCCCAACACGATCGTCTTTCCGAAAGCTTCGAAGTCTTTGGCCCCGAAGGAAACTTCGAAGACAAGACCTCCAAGTTGGAAGCCAACAGAGGTGGCTGTGGACCCGTGGCAGTGTTTCGAAGGATACCCCCAGGATGGATCATTTTCAGGCCCCTGACTGGTCCAACTCGAGTGGTCCTATAACTGGTCCGGTGCTGGTCTCGGTGTCATGTGACCCCTAAGGATCTGGAGGCGAGAACGGTCACACGGTCACTCTAAGCCACCACTGGCGTTCTCTTCCTCCACTCAACTCAGTCAGTCAGTCTGAACCGCCACTTCGGCCTGAGTTGAGTGGAGGAAGAACCCACCACAAGGTCTCTTCTTCCAAAGCCGCTTCTTCGGGCCTGGATGGAAATCTTCAGGTTCATCCGCACGTGCTGCGCCTGCACCGCGTGTCGCGCGCCCGCCGGCGCATGGATCGGGGGGGTGGCGGGTGCGGCGGGAAGAGGAACAGGAGAGGAGTGTGGGAGCTGAGTGTTGTGAAGCAACGGGGTTTTCAATCAACATCGAATCCATGCGTGTGAAAGGTGCGGTGAAGTTCTTCTTTTGGGTTGGGGATGGTTGGGGTGAAATTCATGGAAATTCATGGAACCTGAGTACGAATGGGGTTGCTGCAAGGGTCCAAGACTTTCGGCAAAAGGGCTGATACGTGTCTCTCTCTCTCTCTCACACTGGAGGCTTCATTCCACAACAATAATTAAAACAATTCACCCCTCTATGCTTCAATACTGATTCGAGGACCTACTTCAAAGAACTGTTTTTTTTGAACGTCCCCTTTCTCAACGCAGTCTTGAACGTGGGTCAACTGGTATTTCTTATGAAGATGTAGGGGGGCTGCACATGTTTCGAGCCCACCAGTGTGCCCTCCCTGGCTGTACGACGGGTCCCTCACTCGAAGACCGAACCGCAAAACCCAGGACACGGACCCATCGATGCATCGATGGCGTTCCTATGGCAGAACAAAAAACACTGAGGTTGGCTTGGCACTGGTCAGACTGGTCGTCTTTTTCAGGGTTAGGCCTGGAGAGGTACCTTGTTGTAGCCCTGAAAGTAAGCCATGACACATGAAGAGAAAGCCCTCCAATCGGGGAGACCCCATGGGTTTTTGCAGGTGTGTGTTTAATGCCACACAACTCTGAACAGGTGACGTTGCGCGCCACGAAACATCTAACAGGAGACGCAAGACGCTTCAATTCAAGCTCCTCTATGACATATTCTACAGGGCCACATCAAGTGCATGTGCAAACACTTTAATAAGTTGGAAGTGGGTGCCATTCTGGTGGAAAAAGGGATACCAAAAGGGACTGGTCGTTGAGCTTACACCATCTATCTTGAATCTGCTATTTATATAATAGGTTGTTTATGTATCAAACAGGCAAATATCTACTATATCTACTGTATATCTACTGTATATCAATACAGTATACTCTATTAAATATAATATATACAATATCGTATCAAACAGGCAAATCCGAACCGGATGCCCCTCTATTGGTGGGTGATGAAGAATCAAACTTTGCTCAGAACGAGGCGGTTGTGATCTGCTGTGGTTGGGCGAACAAGCAGGCTGCTGGCAAATGGTTGTTATAATTATGCACTATACTCTTCTTTTCGTTGGATGGAAAAATCATCGCAAGGAATCTCGAAGCATCGCACAGGCTAGATCGAATGTGCCGAAACTGGGTTTCGGAAACAACTCAGTGGGCAAATAAAGATAACCTCCCTCTTCTCAAAGCCTTCAATGTTTCGTTGTTTCTCGCATTTGAGACCCAGCAGCCAAATCGAGACCAGATTTGAGACCAGCCTCGAGTATTAGGAGGGCGGAATGGGCAATTGAGAATGAACAAAAAGGGTTGGGCATCCTCGGAATCGCTATGTTTATGGTGGGATATGGTGAGTATGACCAACCCCCTTAGTTTCCCTGGAACATCAAGGTGAACCCTGTGTTCATCGATCACTTTTTTGGGGAAACCCATTCATAGTCTATCCACTGGGTAGACACATCGCGCTTGTCCGATCGCCGCGCGCTTCGCGGTCCGCGGGTTCGCGAGACCAAACCCATGGGACTACCCGTGCGTTCGGAACAGTACAAGGGTCCGGTACTGTTCGGATACAAGTCGGGTGAGTTGTGGTAAGTGGTGGCTCAGCTCGGCTGCATTCCGATGATTTGTGGGGAGTGGTCATCCCCGGTCAAGGCCCGAAAACAGTGGGACAAGCGACCGAATGATCCTACATTTGCGGACCTGGCTGCTTACACTGCAAAAGAGTTTGGGGTTGGTGCTGTGGCGGGGTTAATCCAAATGGGTGCTTCGAGTACGGGGCAACACTTTAAAGGAGTATAGGGGGCGAGTTGGCTGTGGAAGGGGGGGCAGCGTGAAATTCAGGGCCCCATCATCTGCAGGAAATGCCTTGGCGGGCGTGAACGTCTGTGTAAGATACGGTTGGCAGCCAAACGCTTTTGTGGCTTGGGTCTATCTTCGTTGACACGCCCCAAAACCTCCAGTGGTTGAATGATCTTAGTGTTTTTGTTTTACATGTAAAATGTATCATGGTCTTAATGAAGGTCTAGTTTGCCTGAGGTTTCTTGCAACATCACCTACCACCCTACCATCGCCACACGATGAAGTGCACATTTGGAACGACCGGGTTTGCGCATTTGGAAGGTTGCGCCGGCAAACGGACCGCCCAAACGATGCAGTTTGAGGTTAAGATGGAGCACATATCAGCACATTAGTGTTTTGGGTTTATTCCAAAACAAATTCGTATTGAACAAAATCCTTTTGGGGGGAAGGCCGCTTGAGGTTTTCTCTCTGAGCTGGTGGTTTGATGTATGGATTCTGACAAATTTTACTTTTACATACTTTTAAAATGTTGTCTCAATGAACCAATCAACCATCGAAATTCAACATCATGGAAGCGGAACATGAGCCTTGTTGAACCCTCGCTTGAAAAACCTCATGCTCTCCACTTCCACTAAGGATGTTTTTTTGGGGGAAAGGTCTATCATGGTCTATCACTTGAGTGGATGTCCAGATCACACCAATCACGGTCTACCTGGATACTCGACAATAGCAAACCGGTGGATGGCATACCTGGATCTTCGAAAATGCCAACAGCATGTGCCGGGTATGAAGATCCACCATTCACTCTATTCAACGACCCCGGGCCCGGCGGCCATCCCTAGCCATGATGGCGGCCATCTTCCAGTCCCGGGTCTTGGACCCTTTTGGGAGGCCAGGCTCGTGTGTATTGGGGGCCCCTAGACGGATCGATTTTTCGAGCCTTCCACGGTGTCGAACTGGAAGGTCTCCTATATAGTCACTATACCCTATGAACCAAAGTACTCGTTAAACTGGTCCTTAACTAAAGGACTACTATTACTTTTTGAAAGAACGTACTTTACTTTGTCTAATCACGACTCTATCAACATGCTAGCACAGGATTTGCATGAGTGTTCATTCGTTTTGCAGGTGGTCAGGGCATGTTCAAGCTGCAAAAATGCAGCTGGTCGGCATCATGCATGTCCGACATATGAAAGACATGCATGGATAGAAGGATCCATTGATAAACATGGATAGATCACTGATCACATGGCTAGATTCCATGAATGTAATGACATCATAGCACCACATCCCCGCCCTTCGATGCCCTGTCGTTTTGGCCTCGCACATGGATGAAACGTGCGCTTCAGAAGAGACTCTCGGCTAGTATCTGGTGACAAAGCTACATGTTTTGAGGGCTTTTGGGGGTGGATTGCCAGCACTTCCCCGCAACAAGGAGCCTACGAGAAGAGAGTGGAGGAATCGTCTGATGAAGAAGGTGCCTTTGGCATGGATTTGGGGACGATTCGTGGGTGCAACACGTTCCCTACAAGTCCAAAGACCCAGTAAAACCTCCTTTAAAATATTTGGTTTTGTGTGACCATCCCCAGTAAAATGAGGTCTTTGACTTGTAGGGACGTTGGATTGGACGATGTATGTTCGCAGGCTACGGCTCGTGTGAGCGGTTCATTAATCATGATCATGAGATATCATGAGACATCATGAGACTATAAGCTAGTTGGCTGGCCCCAAGTAGGCCCTAGTGCACTTACAGCTGGAATTCCCGCAGCTGTGGTGGGTAGGATGCCCTCCTCGTCAGATCAGACGTCCTCAGAACTCTTGGGGGGTTGTTCCTTCATCCAAAATGTGAAGTACCATGTCCCACAATGGCAATTTCCTACAACTAGCTGGTGTCCTTTGGATTGCTGCCATGCCTGATTCCCGACCGCGGGATGCAGTGGTGGATGTGCTGAAGGCTCGCTTTTTCATTGGCCTTTATGTCACTTCAAAAATATTCAAAAATTTGGTGCTTGAAATCATGATCCCTTTTTTACAATACCCCCAACACATGCACAGGAATTCTATAGAGATCGACTCGCTGATGGCTGGAAATGGATTCGGGTGGAGCGCCTTTGCAAAGAGAACAACATCCCGAACTATCGAATGATGCGTGACTTGAAGAAACATTGTGCAACTGGGCCCAAACTTATTTGGGATCTTGGGCTTGTTTGGACGTCCCAGGCATGCATGCTAGGGGCTCCTGGCATCGCTACTAGGGCCTGAAGGACGCTACTAGGGGCTCCTGGCATCGCTGCTAGGGGCTGAAGGACATTACTAGGGGCTCCAGTCATCGCTACTAGGGGCTGAAGGTCGCTACTAGGGGTTCCTGGCATTGCTACTAGGGGCTGAAGTGGGATCTTGGGCTTGTTTGGACGTGCTGTCCCACCACCCACCACTGCGAGGAAGCCCGGCTCACCTGCGCAGTGTGCAAGGGACACCGGTCTTCACTAGGGGCAGGTTAGGAAGAGGATCTGGTTTTTCCGGCAGGTTGCACCAATTTCTAGCTGACCTGGACTTCATGAGCTGAACAATTTGCTTCAGCTGTTCCCAAAAGGATCAAAAGGGGTCACCTGGTCAAGGGATGGAATCCACCTGGACTTCATGAGCTGAAAAAATTTCAGCTGTTCCCAATTTGGGGGAGGGCGTATTCCGAAAAGGGTCACCTGGCCAATGAACCTGTTCGAAAATTCTGCTGCTAAGATGCCATGCACTTTCAGCTTCGTTGATGTGGACAAGAAGGGCGTCACTGGAAAGGGGCTGAGGGGCGACACCAACTTCATGTTCTTGCTGGACTGGCTGGGTGTCTTCGGCTTCAGCAGAACCACTTCCAAAGAGGTGTCGGTTCCATGGATCAGTTCAGGGAGGGTTTTTGCATTGGCACGGGCCGCGGGCCGGCTTGCACCGACAGAGGGTCAACGAATTTAAAGCCACTTTGGACTGTACATGCAGACCATTTCCAAAGAACTCTGGGACTAGTACTCATGATCGCCAAGAATTTTCACAAAGAACTCCTAGTACTCATGATCGCCAAGAACACGAGGTACCATTTCCACAAAGAACTCCTGAAGAACTCCTAGTACTATCATGTTCGCCAAGATGTGCACCATTTCCACAAAGAACTTGTGGGACTAGATTGCCAAGAACACGAGGTACTATTTCCACAAAGAACGCCTGAAGAACTCCTAGTACTAGTACTATCATGTTCGCCAACCCGGGAGACAAGTTTAACGAGTGCATATTGGCCAAAAGGACTGCCTTTCCAGTTGGATTGCAAGAATCCTTGTCACACAGCAGCCAACCTTTAAAGTTTGTACAATATGGCCATGGGAGAACTTGAGTCCCTAGCCATGTTGGAACCAATGCCATATCGGTCCCCTCCTCCCTTATGATGCCCCTCCATCGAGTGGAGTGTTCACTAGGGGCTAGAGGGCCCTTCTTACAGATTGAGTTTTTTCCAGGATGAGGGTGAAAAGCCTGGAGTTAGGAGTGGAAGCGACGTATGCCAGTCGACAGGTTCGTAGAGCCCAGAAACCTCCAAAGCAGGACAGCCGTGGCCATAGCTCTCATGATGTTGACCGTCTTGGGAACTACTCGGATGAGAGCAATCAAGCCCGCAATTTTTGGAACTACATGCAGTTGCCACTGGACAGCAGGGTTGGGACCTCGATCTGCAAGGTCATGGCTTTTAAAATTTGGACTGCTAGCACGTGTACACATGTTTATATTTTGGGTGCTTTTTTTTATCCCTGCAAGGAGACTCGATATGTACGGGTTCGTATCAAAGGGCGTGCTGAAGGGTCCCACTGCTATGTGCAACTGCCAATGCTTGACCCTGGCGATATCTTGAACTATCTTCACAGTCATGTACTGGAAGCTCCCATGAGTGAAGTTCAACGGTACTGGGACTCTTTGCGATCGAAGGGCCTATTGTCAAATTTGGTGACTGACCAGCACATACCGG